GCACATGTGATTTTGGTGTGTTCATTTGTAAGAACCCATGATCCGGATATGATTAGATATAATGATTCTGGTTATCTATAACATCCCCAAATTCTAGATCATTAAAAAGGCTTAACATGTGGAAAGACCATTTTGTGGTAGTTTTTGAATAGACATTAGTGGTCATTTCCACCAATCATTCTGATATTGTACGGTACAAGGCTTTTACATGAATGTTTATAGCTTGACAGAATGATATATCACATACTGAGGTTATGTGGTGTTGATTCTATTAAATCAATGGTCATTATCTATAAAGGTAATGCAACTTGTGTTGTGTAGATGGAGACAAGTTATACTTAATTGAATATTTTTGCACTAAGATGGTTCTACTCCATAGGTAATATGGACATATGAACATTTGCAAACTAAGTCGTGTGATAATCTCACTGAGATATTCACAAAATCTACCATACTCCATATTTGATGTGTTGAGTGCATTGGTACAAATTGACTTCGAGATTTGCAAGTATCAGGGGGAGAGTCTCTCTGATTAATAACTTGTTGCAAACACCATATTGTACTCTTTTATTTGTATGAGTTTCCCATGTGGTTTCTCATATAAAGATTTTAATGAGGCAATATCAACACAAGGTTATGTCATATCATCCATTTTTTCCCATAGGGGTTTTTGGTGGACGATTTTGGGACATAAGATGCATTGTACTCTTTTCTTTTTGTGAGTTTTCCTTTTATGGTTTCTCATATAAAGTTTTTGATGAGGCAATGTCAACACAAAGGTATATGCTATATCATCTATTTTTTCCCACCGGAGTTTTTGGAAGATGATATTTAATGCATATTGACCATATGGTCAAGGTGTTTCTAGACTAAAACTTTGGGTTTATCTCAAAGGGTCTAATAACATTGATGATTGTATATCATGGTGTTTCTCCTTATTTTTTCCACGGGGTTTTAAGGAGTTTTATCTGGGATGCCAGTGTTACTTTGGTTTTTCCCACAGGGTTTTCCAAAAATTCATAATGATGCATAATAAATGAACAATGAAGATTACAAGAAACTAATTGATCAAAGGGGAGTGTTGAGAATTATTATTTAATGATCAATTAGGAATTAATCTGAAAGGGTGTCTTTTCACCTATCTTTCAGACTTATAATTGCCTATCTGGCTCCTGTATATATATGTACATCACTGTTCAATGGAATACATACAATCATTCACATCCACTCGTTGTCTCTGGCTATCTACTTTCTAACACTCTGCTGTCTGACTAGATTCTAATTGCACAACATTTCATTTACACATAAGTCACAAAAAACATTTAATTTACACGTAAGAGAGTAGTTATGTCCATTTGTATTTATTTAGACATAAAAAAAGGCCTTGTAACGACCATTCAATAGAATAATAACTCACAGTACCAGCGGACTTGCTCTAGGAGGGCTTAAACCGTTTATATTATTGGCTACACATAAAAAACAATGCTACAAATTAAATTGGGCTAAAGAAGCAATGGTATAAACTCTATTGATATACCATTGGTTGCAACAAAAGTGCTAGTAGAGATGCCTGATGACCTCTACCTACAATTCGTGACTACAATGCTGCCCTAAGAATAAGGTGTGTTGGGAGTTTATGATTGAACTCACCAAAACAAATTTGCTATATCACCGGATCATCATGGTTCAGGAGATGGATATTTGCACCTTCTGGCATAGTCATAAATCACAGGCTCACATATCCTATTTGGATCGTGGCGCTCTTATCACTGTCCTTTATCCCTTAGAGCATCTCCAAGAATCTTTCATAAACTTATTCTCTAAATCCTCATATGGAGTCTTTTGAATAAAAATTGCACTATAGATTTTTCACACTCTTGCAGATTCTTTATATCTTATGCGCACTCTGGAGAGCCATTTCCGCTTTCCATCTTTTACTAGCGAGAGACTCAAAATAGATGATGACATATTTAGAGATCTAATTGAAAAAAACTGTAAGAAGTTTTTTCTCACCAAAATTTATGTGTTCTTATTAATACGAAAGGCTATAAAAAACTCTTTGCTCCTACTATCTCCCTCATGGCCACGGCCTTCCCCAGTAGCTTCCACCATCTCCTACACATCCTGTTGCTGTTGCCGTGGCAGTGCCCGGCCGGTGACTTTGACACCATTGCCATCGTGGTAATATCATTGTGCCATCTGTTATATGGTTTGCAGATGACACAATTAACCATGATTGGTATTATTACTGGCAGCACTGGTCCACTGGTGGTCCACTAGTAATATAACAATTAACCCACACCAGTGGCAGCACACTAGTGGACCACGACTGGTGTGCCCGTGCTGCAGCCAATTGGTACTTTTTTTTGCTTCTTTAAATCGTGGTTAATTGTTATAAAATACTAGAACGTAGATTTAATTATGCCATCTGTTAATTAATTACTATAAGGATTGCCTCTATATACCATTTATTGAGCCAATAACACACCATGATAATATGTTTATGCCGTCGGTTCTAACTAAAAACTCTGTGGTAATATCATTTGCGCTCATTTGACTACTGTTGGTTTCAAAATCGACATTATATTACAATCCATTTGGAATCACACATAAGTGGTTGTCTGTAGTAGTGGACAGATGAGTTTCTCTTGATCCCGTATTTATAATGTTTGTTAGGAACTCAAAAAAAAAAAAGAAAGGTGCATTATTTTTAAGGTCAAGTACATTTGTTCATCGTCCAACTTACACGTGTAATACCCTGATTTTTTTTTAAAAATATATGTTGACAAGGCGGAGTACAGATAGGAGGAAAAGTTGACTTTTTGAACCATATGTCATATAGAAGATCAGAGACTCGGATGTGTAGAGGTCGTCGAGACGAATCAAATTGACTACTAACATTTTTGTTTCGAGACCGAATGAATTTTGGTGGAGCTGTTAAAGTTGGACCGCCGGACGTGGCTTAGGGTAACCTTTTTCTCTCCCGTTCAAGGAAAAAAAAGAGGGGGGTGGGGGTGTGGGGTGTGTGGATTGCGGATTGAATTTACAGCAGCTGGGTAGTAGTCGTAGTGTGGCCTGTTCCTATATGCAGCAACGAATCGATGAGGGTTCACTACTGATGAAAACAGAGCCTTTGTCGAGGATAAAATTCTTTGCTGAGTGTTAAAAATCGGACACTCGGCAAAGACCTTCTTTGCCGAGTGCCGCACTAGGCAAAAAATTGCACTCGGCAAAGAGTTCTTTGCCGAGTGCCAGGCACTCGGCAAAAAAGTGCACTCGGCAAATAACTTCTTTGCCGAGTGCCAGACTCTCGGCAAAAGCGCGGCACTCGGCATAGGCTGCCCCGCGTAACGGTGTTCGGCCACGTCCTTCTTTGCCGAGTGCTGCTTTGTTAGGCACTCGGCAAAGATTTATTTTTTTTTAAAAAATTATTTGCGAGTGTCCCAGATCGCACTCGGCAAAGATTTAAAATTTTTTAAAAATTTCTTTGCCGAAAGTGTCCCAGATCCGCACTCGATAAAGTTTTTTTTTTAAAATACTTTGCCGAGTGCTCTCGACACGACTTTTCGGCAAAGATTTATTATTTTTTAAAAATGTCTTTGCCGAGTGCCCCTGTGAAGGCACTCGACAAAGAGAAAAATTTTTAAAAATTCAAAATCCTCTTTGCCGAAAGTGCCTTATTCTTGGCACTCGGCAAAAGACCCCTTCTTTTAAAGTGCCATGCCCGACTTTCGCGGTTTTTTTTTTTTTTTTTGTTTTTGGCTTCCAAATTTTTTGTGAGCCTTTTTAGACACCGGGAACTCCTAGTTAGAATTTGGGTATTTTTGTGGCTTTTTGATATATTTAGTTACTTTATTTAGTTTACTTGAATTTTTGAAAAATATAAATATAATTTTGAACGCATTAGTACGAATAATAAGTCCGAAAATTTAATAATTCAAAAATGATAGTCATATCATATGAGTGTAGTGTGAGGCCGTATGAGAGCGGATCCGAAATTTTGAACATCTTTGTTCAGAGAAACATGACCACGAACTCACATGTAGAGATGTTGTTTTTAAATTCTATCGAAAAGACAACGAAGCACCGAAAATTATGAATTTTTATCAAGATGTCCACATATGATATCACGATATCTCAACAAGTTTTATGATTTTCAACTTGCTTGCTTTTTATAGAATTGAAAAACACTGCACGTAAGTTCATGGTCATGTTTCGTGAACAAGATGTCCCAAATTTCGTGTCCATTCTCGGATACCTCACACTACACTTCAAGAATATGACTATCATTTTTTGAATCATTAAATTTCATTATTCGTACTCACGTGGCAGCTTCAAAATTATATTTTTCAAAAAATTCAAGTAAACTAAATAAAGTAACTAAATATATCAAAAAGCTAAAAAAAACTCCAAATTCTAACTAGGAGTTTCTGGTGCTCTAAAAGGGCTGCCCAAAAAATTTGGAGGCTAAAAACAAAAAAAACATTGCCGAGTGTCGGGGCATGGCACTCGGCAAAGAATTTTAATTTTTTTTTAAAAAAATCTCCTCTTTGTCGAGTGCCAGGCCGGGTGGCACTCGGCAAAGAATTTAAAAAAATTAAAAAATATTTTGCCGAGTACCAGATCAAGGGCACTCGGCAAAGATTATTTTTTTAAAAAAAAAACTTCTTTACCGAGGTGGCACTCGGTAGAGAATTAAAAAAAAATTAAAAAAAAAAATACTTTGCCGAGTGACGGACGGGGGGCACTCGGCAAAGGAGGAATTTCACCCCGCCGGCCCAGCGCACCGTAACCCTAACCCATTCACATTTCACGGTCTCACCCCAGCCGCCGCCGCTCTGGTCCGCATTTCCGCTTCCGCTCCCTCTCTCCCGCCGTCCTCGCGCTCGAGGGATAGGCCACGGAGGTCCGCCGGCGTCCTCGCGCAAGCTGCCAGCCCCCGCGGCAGTGCTCTCTTGCTGCAGGTACAGGCCCACCCATGGAGGAGACTGGCACAAGCCATGGCGGAGACTGGCACAAGCCGCCCGCCCGCCTCTGGCACCGACGCCGGCGACTTCCCGGAGCTCCTAGGTTTCTGCGCGCGCGCGGAGGCCCTCATCGCTGAGCTGCTCCTGCTCTCCGACCGCGCACCTCCGCTGTTCGCAGACCGCCGCTTCGACCCCGTCCTCTTCGACTTCCGGTGACATCTCTCGCTGTGTTCTCTGCCATAAATAATAAAATCCGTACCATCGCAATGCGAAAGTGCAACTTTGTGAATTCTCCTCCTATTCGTAGATAGAAATCTGCACATCTCGAGTACCCACCGTAGCTTTAAGTTTTAATAGCTGGAAGCACTGGAAGATCAGCTCCGTGACTCCTGCGGCTCTTACATGCAGATATTCTTCTCCTTTCTGGATGGCGCCGTCACTTACCACGGAGAGCTCTGCAATTACCTGAATGATCTGCAGGTTAGGCTTTGCGCCGTTGCAGTGTCTTTGTAACTTGTAGATTGATGCCATTGTTGCTAAATATTTTTAGATGAACTAGAGCGTCAAACATGATGCCCCCAGTCCCAATTTTAGTGACACTAAACGAGTGTTCTTTCATGTTTAGGAAGGGTTATATGTCCACTGCACATTAGATCATGTGTTGGAGAATAACTGCGCATGCCAGTTACTCGTGGAGTCAATGACTCTGTTCGGATGCATGATTCTTATAATGGAACACAAAATTGGTGGGTTGCTGCGCGAGAGGCTCCTTGTGGCACACCTGTGGTACAAACGCTGTTTTAGCTATCCCAATCTGGAGCAGATATGTGAGCTCTGTCGTCGGCATGTGCCGACCCCGGGTACTTCTGCTAGTCCTGGTTCATCACCATTTAGCTTGGACATTATTTCTATTCAGAAGTCTGAGGACCTACTCAGGTGGTTCCCGTATTCTTGCATTTCTCAGTTGATTTACTTGTCTCTTGGGATGCATACAAAGAAGCAAAGTCATCATTAGTTTCCTGCCTTTCTCCCACTTCCATTCGTGATATCAGTCTTCACCATTATACAAAGGTGAGTATAGCAAAACATTTTATTCTATTATTATCAAAGATTTTCCTGTTTTGGATGTTGATTGTGAATTGCAGCTCAATACCTACTTTTTTCTCTAATTCATAAATTAGTTGAACTTGAAATTTTCTATGCTCCTCTTGGATTGACTATCTGTATTCTTTTCCTGAAATTTTCTCACTTTCCTTTTTTTGACTTCTGCATGCTGTTTTTTTTTTCAACTCCAGGTTCCTTATTTTTTAGCTGACTTGGATATTCACATGCATGCCATAAACAAGGAGTATGTGCTCAATAATTCTCAGAGTCTTCTTTCTGTCATTAGAGAATGCAATTTCACTCTCCGTTGGCTTTTGCTTCACCGCATGGTAAAGCTCTATATTTACATTAATCATTACTGTACATCTTGTGAAGCAGCAAACCATTGTTATGCTTGTCTTTTTGTTATTTTACATTCTAACATGCTATATCAGTGCGTAGTACCTGCGTGGACATGCTAGTCTTAACTACTTTCAAAGTTACATTTAATCAGTGCGTAGTTCTCGCTTAACGGACGAGCTATTAGTAACTACTAACTAATATTAGTGTGCAGAATCAATCGGTGGCATCGAGCGATCCTCATGCTTCAACAAATATGAGTATAGTAGTTTCAGAAACTGTCTTCAGCATTTCTTCATCTAAATTGCATCAGTTCCTAGATGTACATCTTTTATAACATTGTCTGATGATACCTGCTGCTGCTTTCAACTTACTGGTGTATGATAGATTTAAATTCATGTGTAAAGTATAATGCTAGAAAATATCTTTAATGCATGATATTGGACTGTAGTTTATGAAAAAGGCATGAGCTCTCAATATGTTTGTCATTTGCCCATTTGACTTATGAAAAGTGTACATGCCTATTATGATGAACTATAATTAAGTTGTTTTGGTGATGTCTTACAATCAGCATCTGTCTTTGGTTCCACTTTACTATGAATGAACTTATGGTTGATTTAACTGAAATGCTTACTGATTTGTGGTCTTATTTTGTAGAACAATCTGGCTATAGAAGGCCTGAGGAGGCAGCAGTGCGGTGCGTGGAGGCAGAGGCCCAGCGGTTATCTGCAAGCGTGTTTCACCATTTTTGCAGATCATCTCTCTAGAAGAGATTCTGACCAAAGACAAGAGATGTTGATGCCGAGATAGGGGAAGTGCTACCCATTTGCCTTAGAAAAGATATATAGGACAAAATATTTGTTAGCTTGATTGTGAATTGATACATACTAGTTAGCTTGATCGTGAATTGATTGTCCTCAAACTATGTGACAGCAGTGGACTCGCTAATAAATGAAACTCAATGTATGTTTCTATGATTGGTACGGTGTATTATTAGTTGTACTGCATGTTAATGCAACGATAATGTGACACCAATTTGTGATGTTTGTTATATATATCTTCTGTTTGTTTGGATGGAATGTAAAAAACAAATAAAAAAGGTTCTTTTCAGTCACTTTGTCGAGTGCAATGGTCATGACACTCGGCAAAGCTGGAAAAATGGGAGCTCGGAAAATCATTTTCTCAGTTTTGCCGAGTGTAATGACCACGGTACTCGGCAAATAATTTTTTTTTAAAAAAAAATTCAAACTTTACCGAGTGCCGGCCAAAGGGCACTCGGCAAAGATTTTTTTTTAAAAAAAAATTCAAACTTTGCCGAGCATCGGAAAGGGGGCACTCGGCAAAGGATTTTTAGAAAAAAAAATAAAACATCTTTGCCGAGGGCCCAATAGAGGACACTCGGCAACGAATTTTTTTTAAAAAATAAAAACTCTTTGCCGAAAGTGCTGCGAGGTTGGCACTTTCAAAGAAAAAAAAAAATTTAAAAATCTTTTTTGCAGAGAGTGCGAAGGGTTGACACTTTCGGCAAAGAAATTTTGTAAAAATAAAGAAAACTCTTTGCCGAGTGCCCGTAGGGTTGGCACTCGGCAAAGAAATCCCACAAAAAAATAAAAAATCTTTGCCGAGTGCTGCAGTGTTGGCACTTTCGGCAAAGACCCCCACAAAAAAAATCTTTGCCGAAAGTGCCTGCAGGGTTGGCTTTTCGGCAAAGTTTCAAATCAACAGGACCGGCGCCTTGACGGTCGCTTTTCTTGCCGAAAGTGCCCGATAAAGACACTTTCGGCAAAGAGGGCTTTGCCGATTAATTTTTTACCGTGTGTTCTTTGCCGAGCGGTGTTGGCACTTTCGGCAAAGAAATTTTTTTAAAAAATAAAAAATCTTTGCCGAGTGCTGCGCAGGTTGGCACTCGGCAAAGTGACTGTCAACGGGACCGGCGCCCTGACGGTCGCTTTTCTTTGCCGAGTGTCCCCGGGGCACTCGGCAAAGAGGGCTTTGCCGATTAATTTTTTGCCGTGTGTTCTTTGCCGAGTGCCGCACTCGGCAAAGCCTTTGCCAAGTGCAATTTGGCCTAAGAACCTAAATCCAGTAGTGGTTGTGCTCAAAATGGATTTGGCAACTTTGGTTATTGGTCTGAGAGTGGAGGCTTGCCGATCAGGATGTTGTAGATAGCTATGGCAAAGGAAAATATATACCCGTATACAGACAGAATCTGTCTGATCGATTTAGATTCTCTTTTTTTTTTCAGGAGCTCAGTAGTATACGTAGTACGCTAGAAAATTCCAGGCTTGTGCTTTTTATCAAGCTAGGCACTCCGTGGTTATAAACTAGGGTGAAACATGTAAAGCTAGTGACTATGCAGCTCGCCATCTTCACCATGGCACAATTTGGATGGTTCGGTGGTCAAAGGAATAAATGATAAAGAAAAAAGTTAAGCCGTAGCATGAACTTCGTATATATAAATTAAATGTGTATGTTTGTGCTTCTTTTGGCTCAATATTTTTTGGAGTTGTTTTTGAGTATAAACGTGGTTGGTCAGGTGGTGGTGAGTTGGAGGGCATAACCCAATCTTCTACTCGACATGCTACGTAGCATCGCTAAGGCAAGTGCATGACGAACTTGTGTTTGGGCTTTAAGCCTAGTGGTTCGAGTTTTTCTTTTGCTTATGTTTCAAGTGTTTTTTTCTTGGTTTATGTTAAGTTCCGTTTCATGAGGTTCATGTTCAAGTGTTATTTACATTCAATTCAAGTTCTGGTGGTTCCGGATGTGCAATTTGGTTCTTATGTTCAGGTTCCTGTGAGTAAGTGCTAGCCCCACTTACTTGGCTTTACCGGTAGATGCAAAGAATTCAAGTTCGTCCGTTTCAGATGGAAACTACTATTTATATGAGATTCCCATTCTCTGTTCATGAACTCCTGTGTGAAATTTGATTTTGGGTTCTAACTGTACTTGCTGAGTGTTTTTACTCACCCTTGTGTTTATTTGGTTTTTAGGTACCAAATGACCGCAAAATGCATGGGGATAATTGGGAGTAGCACCTTCATGAGCACAAACATAGTTACCTATACACCATTCTTTAAGTCTAAGTTTTTGCCACTAATAATTTGATTAAAGATTGCTTAAATGTTGATTTGATTGAGATGGTAGTTGCAGTTGGGATGGTCCTTCTATTTTATTTGGGTTGGGCTGAGGCTTATGACTTTATTTATGATTCTATATCATTTATGTTATTGATTTATTTGTCCTAGATGTGTTTTTTGGGGGAGGTTCTATTGAAATTTTCAGTTTTTTTGGACAGTGTGTTTTTGGTGTTTCTAGCCGGGGTGTTACAACATGATAGTCCAATTTTCAGCCTTAAATTAGAAAACTGGATAACGGATAAACTCCAACCGTCAAAACTGAATAAATTTGGTCTTCCATTAGTTTCAAAGGTGGTTTTCTATTATAATAATAATCAATTGGTTACCATCTAAAAATCCAGAAATAGTAGATTTAAAATCAGAAAAATATAAAACTAGTATCGTTTTTTTTTCTAAAAATGTTACCTGTTATTTGGAACTGATTTTTATGTTCCTATTGCTTTGTTGCTTTTAGTCATGCTCATTCTTTATTTAACATAAATAAGAGCCAAACAACTCTAAATAGAGCACCATCAGATACATAACATTTTTAGAAGAAAGTTGATACTAGTTTCATTTGTTTGTTTTAAATAAATTAATTATGAATTTTTAGAGATCAAACAATATGATTAATATTTTAAGAAAATAGAAATTTGT